TTGGCTGAAACCCTGTAAATAAAATATTTCCTTGTTGGGGGGGGGGGGTTGTTGGCTGAAACCCTGTAAATGCTACAGGTAAAACTCTCCACTGCTACTTGTAGTGGAACAGCTCCCACCGTTGTTGTTACGTAATTTTTTCCAGTTAGTGCGTTGTCTTCTTCGGGTGAAACTTGTCAAACGTCGCTAATACGGCCATTATTTCTGACGTTTCATGTGTTTCGATGTGTCCCGGCACACTCCACATTTCGCCGGCTATTTTCTAGTTCTATGATCGGGACAATTTGTCAAATTGCTCCCCGTGGACCGTTCCTCCGGATGTGTGTGTGTATGTGGCCGTGGTGGCTGTCATTCCATAACGCTTTCCTCAGAGATCGCTCAGTCAACAGATGAACACCGGCGTCGTATACTAGTGTCTAGAGCTTGTTTTACATTTTAATGACTTAAGTTCACAAGCTTCCACCCCAAAATAGAAGCTACCCCATTTTTGGCGCTGAGATCACTCTCGTCTCTTCAAAGCTGCAAAGTTGACCCCCATGCGGGTCACCATAGGCTAATTTCATTCTTGGAACAGCTTACGTGATCCCTCAACCCAGCAAGCCACGTTGGCCGTGTTCTCAAGGGCGAATGAGAGTAACGATCAAAGTGCCGTTGCAGGGGTGCTCGAGTATTGTTTAGCTCCTTCTCATCCTTTACAAAGCCACAGTGCCATTCAAGAGTTCAATCTACTCGTTTGAGATGCCTAGAATAAAAAATTGTCTTCCACTGATTCGTTTTGTAAAATGTTTCCCGCTACAATTTGATTAATGAGAACACTTCATAATATTCTTGATTTTGTTTGAAAGCGGGAAGCATGGCGCAACTGCAAGGTTGTTTCATGAGGACCAGGGTAGGACCTAGTTTTTATTTCACTACTTGCACTTTAGAATTGAGTGATAAGAAGTAGCAAAGGATGATAAGAGTCGTTATGGCCCAGTAAACAAGCTACAAGCCAGTGGAATCTGTAGTACGGAAAGAGCGGTGGACAAAGTAGTATATTATACTCAGTGCCCAGGCAAGACATTTTACAGCTTTAAAGGAAGTTCGAAGGAATTTCTGTGGTGTTTATATGAAGTATTTTTCCTTCTCCGTCTTCGGACCGACTTTCCAATTCTCATTGATCGACAGATCTATAGAATTTAATTTTTGTCAATAAAAAATTGAGGGTTCGCTAAATTCCAAATTCTCTCTTCGTCGAACTTCGGCATTGTTGTAATATTAATGTTCTTCTTCTGCCTTGTTCTGTTCTTTATTTCCCTCGTAGGGAGTTTTCCGGTTGTACCCCCTTACGTTCCAACAGAAACGCTAGGGAGAGGAGGCATTTGGCGGTTTAAAGGATATCTCTTAAACATTGAGCCACGTTGAGGGTATGGTGTCTAACAATTCCTTCGAAAGGTGCCACCCACGCAATTTCCAGTTACAGTTTCGGAACCTCAA